TTGGTTTTAATAATTAATATGGTAATTTGATTGTGTGACCTCACCCCTCCCACCACATATGGACATTTTTTTTAACATATGTTCTACATTCTTTTTGTGTTTTAACTGTTGATTCTCTGTGTTGGTGATGTGGTGTTGTACATGTGATGTAATTCAGATTCAGATTTGTTTATTATCTCGTCCAGACACAACTACAGTGAGATGGTTCCAGCTGGAGAGCAAAGACCTGCCCTGTCCACGACTCTCCGACCTTTATTATTTTGGCTGTAATTAATAATTAGTTTGACCTAATCTCCATTTAACCAAAACTTGGCTACAGTGATGACTCTCCTTTTGATTGTAGTCATGAAGCTTAAGCGCAATTTCAGACTGAAAAGACCTCACCCCATCCAGGGCCAGCCTCTCGAGCCTCTGCCAATCACACAGCTAAGCCAGCCTCGAGCCTCAGCCAATCACACAGCTTGGCCAGCTCCCTTGCCAACCACTGAGCGGGCAGTCTAAAAGCAGCCACTAACCAGCCCTTCCTGAAGCTCTTGACACCAAAAGGCTCCCCAGCACCTTCTCAAGCCCCTGCTCTGGCTCCTGCTCTACCTTCGCCCCATTCACACCATGCTTCTAGCCACCACCAGTGACACCGGGGGATCTGAGATCATCTCAGCAGCAATGATCACCCCTCTGCAAGTATCACTGCCGGTGTTCTGTCGAGAAGTGCACCCTTGTCAAGATTTGCCCCCTTTGTTGAAATGTGCATCCCCACCCGCCGAAAGCAACTGTCCATAACTTAATCATTATGAATGTTTACTTATTAAACATGTCAACATATTTATGATTTATTAGATTTAATAAAAGGTAGTATATTAGTATAATGTACTGAATACATGGCGTGTACTCCTTGTCAAAATTTGCCTCCCCACTCGCCGAAAGAGAACACGTTATCACCACTTTATGAGCCAGTATTTTGATCTTTTAAAAAGGAAAAGCGAGTAGCTTAGAATGTTATATTATATACGTGCATACTACCTCTTTATTATCTTACTGCACAATTGTGAAATAGTTGCTCATGCAGAAGTCCAGAGGCCAACTTAAGACGTATATTTATTTACATTATTGTCCACATCTTCACGTGAATTTGAAGTAGTACTACATCACTGTAATGTCTAGTGCCATAGTGTTCAGCACAAAATACACGAGTGTAAACTTGTTTATCGTAAATAAAACTACTCACGTGAAGCTGGAGATGCAAAATCCGATGGCTCGATAAACCTACTTTGACGCATGCGCAGATGCACTAGATAATATGTTTTGACAACTATCTAAAAAATGTGAATGCCAGTCAGAATGGAGAGTTAATAGCCACCTCACACCTAACATCACAGCATCTGGGGTCTTCCCATTGTTACATGTAGAACAGTATAGTACACCTCGGGCCAATGGGGGTGGACCCGGAACAAGAATTAGCCAATGCTAACATATAGCATCGGGTGACCTCTCGAAAAAGTCTTTACAGGATGGTCCAAAAGTTGGCTCTTGGCCCAAAGCTCCGTTCCACTCTGACTAACTCGCTGTGAATTTTTGAAGGCACTCGTTCAAATGAATGGCGCTCTCGCCGGCTGACGCATGCGCAGATGTGTTTTTTCACAATTTTCTTGTGTGCGGGACCACTCGCTGCCATTTTGGATAGTTCCAGTAGAGCAGAATTTTTGGCCCATTAGTTTGAATGGCGGAGATAGGCGTGACTACTTCCGTTAATATATACAGTCTATGTGTCTAACCCAAGAGGGTATTCACTTTCCATGGTTTATTGTGCTCTAATATTGTCATGTGTTTGTTTTATAGCATAATCCTCCTTGTCACACAATGTCCTCAGAACCCGGAGCACTTCCTCTTCTCATAAGATAAGATAGATTTTATTGATCTCACACTGGAGAAATGTACATGTCACATTTGGGGCATGGATAGAATCACTCAGATTGTGCAAAAGACAGAAGTGTGCAAACATGTCAAAGGTTAAAAATATAGTCTGTGCAGGATATGCTTATGTACAATTAAAAGGGGGCAGTAAAAGAAAAAGTGGCAATAGCAGTGCAGGGGTTTAGTGACTTGAAGTTACTTATTGTGCAGTCTGACAGCAGTGGGCATAAAGGCCCTGCGGTAGCGCTCCTTCTTGCACAGTGGGGGCCTCAGTCTTCCACTGAAGGAGCTCCTCAGCTCCTCTACAGTCCTGTGCAGTGGGTGGGAAGTGTTGTCCGTGATGAAGGTGAAGGTGGAGAGCAGCACCCTCCTGTCTCTCACCTCCTCCATAGAGTCCAGGGAGCAGCCCAGGGAAGAGCTGACCCTCCTGACCAGCTTGTCCAGTCTACTCCTGTCCCGCTCTGTGCTGCCCGGGGCCCAGCACATGGCAGTGTAGTCTGTGGCAGAAGCTACCACCTGAGCATATGGCAGAGGCCTGCACACTCCGAAGGACCTCAGCCTCCTCAGAAGGTGGAGGCGGCTTTGGCCCTTCTTGTAGTAGTAGTAAGTAATCTTTATTTATATACCGCCTTTTCACTGCACATCGGAGTCTCAAAGCGGTTTACAATTGTGATTTTTGGGAGTGGGGGTGCCAGTACAGGAGGCACATGCCAGACCTACTGTACATATTTTTAGTGGTAGGGGAAACCGGAGCACCCGGAGGAAACCTACACAGACACGGGGAGAACATGCAAACTCCACTCAGAAAGGCCCTGGTCCAACCGGGATTTGAACCCAGGACCCTCTTGCTGAGAGGCAGGAGTGCTATCCACTCAGCCACCGTGCCGCCCACGGGCTGTACAGGGCGTTGGTATTATGGGACCAGTCCAGTTTATTGTTAATGTGAACACCAGGGTACTTGAAACTGTCCACCAGCTCAATGTCCTCCCCCTGGATGTTCAGTCGAGTATGGGAAAGTGGTTTTTGTCTGGTCTCGGAGTCTGTTGTGCGGGCCCGGATCCGGACTAGCTTAGCCTAGCCTAGCCGCTAACTCGCTACTCCTATGGCGGCGGCTGTCTCTCCCTCGGTCCTTTACTGCTCGAGTTGCCATATGGTGAGTCTAAACCCTGGATCCTTCTCTGAGGGTAGTGATAGATGTGTGAAGTGTAGTGTAGTCGTAGCTCTGGAATCCAGGGTCAGTGAGATATGCCGTTTTTCCACGGTCCGAGTACGGTACGTTTTGACTCTACACGGCGCGCCATGGCCCAGTTCGCGTGCTTTTCCATCAAAAATAGTACCCCCAGTATGTCCTCAGCGTTGTCAGACCACGTCATTTACGTGTGACGCGTAACTAGTACTGGTGCGGTGCATGGATTTATTATAATACCAGAGCAAGTGAGCAATAGAAAATTCAGCACAGCACGAGTAGTTTTTGAAAATGCTTATGTCTTAAAAGAATGACTCGGACACAGTGAAGTCAATGGTGCTGACTGCTCTGTACAATCTGAATGGGACAGACTTCTGTTGTGACCTAGGGCTATACAAGAATAAATTGTATTGTAAATTGTATTGAAAGGACAGTGCCCTGAGGGGCCCCAGTACTGCAGACTCCAACCTCAGACTCACAGCTGCACAGCCACACGCACTGTGGTTGGTCCGAGAGGTTGCTGTCCACTCCCGCGTCCTCCATCTTCCCCCCAGCAGTGCCGATGGTGTTGAAAAAACATGACCCTAACAGCGGCGGGCTCCAGGTGGGAGAGCGCCCGCTGCAGCAAGTAGATGACAGTGTCCTCTACTCCTGTAGGCAAAATGCAGCGGGTCCAGAGTGGGGCTGAGCACAGAGTGGAGATGGGTGAGGATGAGCCGCTGCATGGTCTTCATCAAGTGGGAGGTCAGTGCGACTGGTCTGTAGTGAGCCGGTTCCCTGGCGTGCGCTGTTTTAGGAACCGGGTTCACAGAGGAGGACTTCCACAGGACAGGGACCTTGTCGAGGCTGCAGATAGGTCGTTGTAGATAGGCTGAGGTCCTATCTACAACCTTGTCAGGTTGTAGATAGGACCTCAGAGAGCTGGTCTACACAGGTTCTCAGCAGCCTGGGACTGATCCCGTCCGGTCCTGTGGATTTCCTCTGCTTCAGTCGCTTCAGCTCACTCCTCACCTGGTCCGGTGTGATGGAGAGGGGGGAGACTGGGGTGTACTGTCAGAAGTGGGGGCTGTGGATGTGGGGGCAGAGGGGTCTTGGGGCAGTTGAAGGCAGTGTCCACTGGGAGGTATCCACTGGGCGATGTTCACTGGGCAGTGTCCACTGGACTGGACAGTGAGAAGAGAAGGGGGCGGGAAGGGGGGCAGATGGAGTAGGGGGAGAATTGAACCGGTTGAAATATTGGTTAAATTCATCCGCCTGGTGCTGGTCTCCATCCGCTGTCCCTCTGGTACTCTGTCTGAATCCGGATATGTTCTGAAAACCTCTCCACACGTCACGGGCATTTCCCTGCGCCCGTGATGTGTCTATGGGGTCAGCTTTTCCCCATAGACTTTGGCCATCCTGATCCTCCACTGGAGCTCGTGCTGGATCCTCTTCTGCTCCTCTTTGTCCCCTGAGATGAAAGCCCTTTTCTTGAGGTTCAGGAGGGCTTTAAGCTCAGGGGTCACCCATGGGTGGTTGTTAGAAAAACAACGTACCTTCCTAGTCGGTACAGTGTTATTCACACAGAAGAGAATATAGTCTGTCAGGCTTTCAATGAGATAATAATATGCAGCTCTCATAGCTTTCCATGAGAGCTGCATATTACATCCTTGTTGAATGTTGATGTGTCTGTCTATTTTGTTGTCTTTAATAAAGAAAAAAATAATAAATGTCTAGGCCACGTGTAAAAACGACACACATGTCGTTTTACACAACAATGTGGCCTTTCTGGTGGCTCAGAAGACTAATTTTGAAAATGGGATGTTCATTTTGACCCTTTTTTTTTTTTACACGTTCTTTCCACATGGTGAATAGCCGGATCCAAACAAGATCCACCAAGGGCCTTTTCCCCCGTTGTCCTCACCTCTGGAGGAAGCGCTCGTAGGGCTGTCTGTAAGCAAATCCGGCTCGCCGCACCATCACGTTCTCCAGCAGACCCAAGTACGCAACCTGGTGTCTGCAGCGTGCATCGTGAAACACCACTGGCGACTTCAGCTCATTTGGCTTGATACAGCGCACGTAATAAGGCTCCTGGAAAACAACACGCAATGATTAAAACTGGGCTACCTAACTTTTCTCATAAATAACACATGCAGTTTGTTAGGCAGAAATCAAACCACAATAAGGTGTCTTCAACTTCATTTAAAGCCCTGTGAGTCACTATTTGATTTTATGGGCTGAGAGCTGAGTAGTAGCTCTTTTGAACTTTTAATGGAGATTTGACAGAGGCCTGAAATACACACATTTGACATTTGAGGTTCATTGTTGCTATTTTTCTCAAAATCAAACATTATAATAATTTGTAAATTTCCCTAGAGAATTTAGCTAATTTTAATTAGGCTAAACTAATTTGCAGTCGAAAGAGGCAAAAATCGCTCTGAACATGTCATAGATTTTGCCATTGCGCATCAGATTTGGGGGTGACAGTAGCCTTTGGGCCTGAAGGTTGTGGGTTCAAGCCCACCACAAGACTCATGATTCCCACTGATGTATGCTGTTGTTGTGTCCTTGGGTAAGACACTTAACCCAACTTTGCCTGAAGCCCCTGCGGAAAGATCAAGGCTCTTGTGGACTCACCACCTGCAGGAGGAGGATCAGTGCTCTGTGCACTGGGTGCCGCTCTAACTGCCACCCCCACCCCCACCCCCCAAATCAGGGTTCTGGCACGTCCCTCGGCCCCTTTTGTCTGAAATCTGATACCCATCCAAATTTCTAGAACCCTGATTTTGGGGGGGGGGTAGCAGTTAGAGCTGCACCCAGTGCACAGAGCACCAGAGCACTGATCCTCCTGCAGGTGGTGAGTCCACAAGAGCCTTGATCCATTTGGATGGATGGGTAACAGATTTTAGACAGAAGGGGCCGAGGGACGTGCCAGAACCCTGATTTTAGTGTGGTTGGAGGAAAGACAACGCCAGGTAAATTTTTTGATTAGGAACAATGTTGTAACAAACTCAATGATTTTTTTCACAAGATATTTCCTTTAATATCAAGAACTCTCCGCCCTCCCCTTCTGTCTCAACCTCATCCTCAGTGTATGTCTCCATAGTTTTCCCTAAAAGGTCTTTCTAGAGCCAGTCTCCATGGTCTTTGTCTCACAGACCTTACAGGCCAGTCTGTCCACCAGAGCCACAATGGAGTTCTTGAAGAGCGAGGCGGCGGTTTGAGGACGTTTGGTGACTTCTGTGATGTTCATCTGACCATCAGGCCACATCTGCTGCACCACCGAGCTGGAGCTGGAGACACAACACATAAAGACAAACATCAAACTAACTGCACACAAGTACGGAAATTTAGAGATTTGAACTTGAGCTGGAGACAAACAAAGCAGATCAGGAGAGGGACAGAGTAACTCTCTAGTGTTTGCTCAGTGCTCTCACTCTAAAAGACTTTCTTGCGCCATGGGAAAAAGCCATACTGGAAAGAACTTAAAAAGATAAATCTAACGCACTTTTCAAAGAACTATAATAGCCCATATTAAATAAATGTATGAACGTGCAATAAAAATATATGATAGAAAACCCAAACGATACGACCACTGCCCAATCTTAACAAAATACAACATTCTTAACCTATTAAATCTATTTTTATATATAGTATATATTAGGGCTGTCAAACAATTAAGATTTTTTAGTTGATTAATCGCATAGTAATGGCGAGTTAACTCACAATTAATCGCATTTTTAACATTCTATTTCAAATCCACTCCAATTGAACTTAAATGAGATTATCAAATGCAATGACAGATTGTCATTCAAACCAAATGTACTTAAATCTGTTTGATTTGCTCACAACCTTTTACTTTTGGGCACATCCAAAACGAGCTGTTAATGAAAGGGGAAAATGTACGTACCCCAGCTTTATTTTAGCGAGTTTAGTTTCAGGAGGACACACGGACACTTCCGCGGTGTATTTGCGTGCACAGGTTACGCACAGGTTGCAAGCACACAACAAGCAGTGAATAATCCGTTGTGTTAGGGCTGGGCGATATATACGGTATAAGCGTTATGCGATATAAATTTGGCCCACGGTAGAGATTTTTGTTATACCGGCATATTGCGATAGGTCATTATGTCATCAAATTGCGCAGGCTCTGACGCCAGCAGAAAGGACCAAAACAAACCGGCATTCAGCAGCATTAGCCTAGCAGCATTTGCCTAGCACATTAGCCTAGCACTACTAGCCTAGCATTAGCCTATCAGACACCACTGGAAACAGCGAACAACAGCACGGCATTCACACCGTGTTTTTGTCTCTGTATTGTTGTCACAGCGGCCCCAGCAGAGGTAAATACACACACAGCAATCCAAAACTTCTAACTTTCGGCCAATGAGTGTCAAAGGGGCGTAGGCCAGCGTGGGCCAAAATAGATCCATGCGTGTGCCGTGCCCGCAGCATCATCACATCAGAAGTTTGGGAAACCGCGGTCAATAGCTCACGAAAGCTACTTTGTGCAACAAACTTAATTGTGCCAAAATGACCATTTACATCAATTGTTCAAATCCAAAGTGCTGTTTTAATGCACATAAATCCATTGAATCATCCAGTTCACTGCAAGCGCAGAGAAAAGCGCTTAGGGAGCATCAACAAATGGCAAGACCAGCTTTGTAAACAAACAATAGCTTTTACTGAAGCCATGTACCTGCACAAAACTCTCAGACACTATAAATAATGACCATGTCTAACTGCTCCAGGCTTTGATTTCAACATTTGTGAGTTTTTTAAAATATTTTAAATGAATACATGTTTTTTTAATTTTTTTTATTGCTTTTACAGTAAATGGTCTTTACTGTAACATACATAAATAATGTATGTTACAGCATTTGTCTCTTCATTTGTCTCACAACTCAAAAAATATATATACTAGATTCTAATAAATAAATAAGTAACAATCTTGACTATTTTATGCAAGAACCTGCTAGACCTATATTGAAATTCACACACCGAATTATACCGCAATATATACCGTCTACCGTCTGTGACCCAAATTATACCGCAATATGGATTTTAGGCCATATCGCCCACCCCTACGTTGTGTGTATGGTCTTATATGACGTCATTACCGCGGGTCCATTCACCGCTAACAACAACCAGAGCAGCCACAGCTTCCCCCGGGTTGTGCCCCGGTCACGCGCGTATTCTTTTAAAACTGGAATTCCCAGAGGGCCTACCTGCTCTGTTGCCATCTCACACACACATGCATTCTGAGTGATGTTATGGATAAATGGGCGGGTCATTCAGACAGTATGTGTTAATGCGTTAAAAAAAAAATGTACGCGTTAATGAAAAATTTAATTAACGTGAGTTAACGCGATAATTTTGACAGCCCTAATATATATATATATAATGTGTATTGAAATTGTAAACTGACTTTTATTTGACTGTTTTACAACAATCTGCTCAGGGACTACGGGTGTAAATTAGCACTGCTGCTACAACCCGGTACAAAGCATCTCTCACCTTGGCTAATGCTATTGTATACTGTCCCTGTAAAAATAAAAATCATACAAGATGAGCCTGCTCATAGCAGTGTCAGTCCCACGGCCATTGACCAAACTGTTTACAACTCCTTATAATCTGCATTGGAGGCAGCAGCCCCAATACAAATATTTTTTATCAGGACCAGACAACTGCATTCACTAAAGTAAAATGTTAGCTAGCCCACAGGGTGTGGGTAACTGGTAAGAAATTGTGTGTATATGTTATTATATTAATTAATGTGAATTGTTTAAGTTTGGTAACCCACTTTGGAGTGTTGATATGCTATATGTTATACTATGTTGGGCCATAGGTTAAGGCCTGGGCTCAGTTAAGTCTTTGCACTAAGAAGAATTAATGTTTATCCTCAAAGGAGGGGTCACTTGAGAGAAATTCCATATGGGAATTACGGAACAATTTCAAATGTTCCTTTGTATCTAAAATTCTCAAAAAATGTACAGGAAAATAATATATTTGAAATGTTTCAATCTGGATTTAGAGCTCATCATAGCAATGAAACATCCATCCATTCATTCATTTTCTTCCCCTTAATCCATTTCAGGGTCAGGGGGGTGGCAGTCAGAGCTTCACCCAATAGCAATGAAACAGCACTAGTTAAAGTCACAAATGACTTACTAGTCCTCATCCTATCCCCACCATTTTCATACATTTTTTAAGAGGCTCCAGGAGCCACTCGGGTGGCACTTAATAGCCGCGGGTTGCCGACCCTTGTTGAAATGTAAAAATTTTAAAATATGTTGCAATTAGGACTTCAGAGTATATTGTAAATAAATTTGAGGCGGGAAATATCCCCCTCTCTTTGTATCAGAAGTATGTTTGGCAATATATTTGAGAAAGGTAAGAAAGGCCAGAGACATGGGACGTGGGAGACGAAGTAGGCCAGGGGTGGCCAACCCACGGCTCGTGAGCCTCATGCGGCTCTTTGGCTGGTTTCATGTGTCTCTTGGACTTTCACATGACAAGCATTAAAAACGCAATGTGGCAAGCTGACCCAAGTAGTAAATGCCGACTCGACTCCACTAGCCTGGCCGAGTAAATACCAAAACAATCTGACGTTGGGCAAACGTCAATTCTGATTGGTCAGAAGCGCTGTCAATCACTCTTCAGCTGCTGCGTCAGCTGTTGCGAAAAACATAAAAAATAACACGTTGCCTCAACCCACAAAGACGTCCAAACGGAAAACAATTCCTTGGTTGCTGGATATGGTCAACACTTTACTCAGTTTGAGGAGAGGACATCAGCGTGAGATTGATGGTGTCACCAGAAACCAGAAGGTGTTTGGGGAGGTGGCGCTAAGGACGGAGCAGAATGATACCCACGGACATCACAGTGCAGAGAAAAGTTAAGAAGCTTAAAAGTGACTTTCATGAAATGAAAGATCACAATAGCAAAAGCAGGGGAAGAACCGAAAAGTCTGGAGTTGGTTTGACCAAATTAATTATATTTACGGACATCAGCTAACACCGGCTAAAACGCTAACACCAGCTACACCAGGAGAGATACCTCACTCTGCCTTGTCCCAGATGTTGAGTTTGAGAGAAATGGTGAGTGTCTGTCTTTAATCAAATGCAAAAGTTTCTGGTCTCATACGGAACGTGTGTCTGTGGTTCTGATGTCATGTGTCATGTCTATATCTTTTACTATACGTAGTTAGAGAGTAAATAATGGATTCATGGTTCAATAAAGACAGTCATTATGTTATATGCTGAATACTGGGTTGAAACTCGAAAACATTTTCTTGGTAAGAGCTTGAAAGCACTCATTTCTGAATCAGAATTGACAAACGTTGACGTCAGATTGTTTTGGTATCTACTCGGCACGGTTAGAACCCGGGCAAAAAGTAACGGGTAGCGGCTAAAGCGAGCCGGTGGAAACGCCCGCAAACCGGGGAGAGTCCTTTAGTACTATAGGAGTCAATTTCTGTCATTATCATGTTGGCGTGTGACATTTACAATTAGTCTGGCTGAGCAGAGGTGTGTGTGCGTGCCTGTGTGTATAAGAGATGGAGTGATGTTTATGTGTGCCCATTTGTATGATGTGGCTCTTTGCACACAGTAATACAATTGGCTCTTAATCTCTGACTGGTTGGTCACCCCTGAAGTAGGCAGTGGTGACACTGATCGCTGCAGCCATGTCTCTCCTTGCTTTATGCAAGTACAAAGTAATCATTTGTCTGATTGTGCTTTTATCCAGGTTAACTGTTGCTAGAACCAGCATTCACACCTTTCCTCATTCTACATTATCTGTCATCATTATGACTTCAGCTGTAGTCTGTTAATTGCTATTCATTGTCTGTTTCATGGCATGATGATGGGACCCATGAATCTGGCGTCCTTCATTTCTCCTTCACTGTCTTCCCCTTCCTGGACTTGTGGGCTGCAGTCCCCTCCTCACCTGGGAACCGCCTGAATCCTGCATCACCTGACCTCAGTCCTCATTCTGCTGCCTGAGTCCTTGATCTATATCCTGTCCATCTGTAAGAGCAGATCCCTCCCTCAATGTGGGTCTCCCCAAGGTTTCTCACTTTTTTGAGATGATGACAGTGGTGATGGACATGATAGACAGCGAGGCAATAGTATGTCCCACCGGCCCCTCCGACCAGGCTCTGCTCAGCATCAAAGGTCTGACGGGATCTGGCTTTTCACACGAAGTGTTCATAATACACACACATACAAATAAATAAAATATAAAACATATAAAGCTAAACTAGCTGCATTTTATCAAAGTACCCCAAATTCAACTCATGTGATGCTAATTCTGATCATTTTTTTCCGTTTTATTTGTGGGCATGCCCCCCGGCCATGCCCACCTGCCTGAGTCACCTCAACTGGCTCTTAACGTGGAAAACCCGTGTGCTAAGTAAAAACACATGTCATTGTCTGACAAGAAGTATTTCAAAGTGCTCGGGCTTTCCTACCCAGACTGTAGACGGATAGTTATAGTAAGTGAGGAAGAGGAGGCACCATCATCCTCCTCAGACACTCCACATGATCCTGCTGTTTTTAATTTACAGAGAGCATGCGTCAGCCCAAAATTTGACTCGCACATATTTTTGCCACATGTGACGTGGCTTCCTCTCCAAAGACATATACTGTAGGACATATGGACAGTCACTAGATCAGCTCCACAGATTATGGTCCATATACCTTCCGTTGATTCTATTTTTGTTTCTGACGTGCACATCAAAAAACAAACTCTAGGACTCTTTCTTATTTTCATTGTTGAAACAAGAAATTGAATAACCCCTCTCCTAAAAATAGTTTAATTTTTTCGACCTAAAACTCAGTTTGGGCTGAAAGATTTAGTTTGGGCCTTGGATTTAGTTTTTTTGGTATGGAACATAAAATTTTAGGATCTTTAGTTTGGTGGCCCCAATAATGAATGTATATATGCGCCCCACCCCTATGTCCACGGATGAACTGGTACATGGGGGGAAACGGTCGCCTATAGGCAGGAGAGAAGCCTCGGGGAACCCACGGTTTGAGCCAGCGAGAGAGAGGCGCTGGCCATGTGCTCTTAAAGTGGTTCTCACCCCCGCTCCTCGAGGCCTCCGTCACTCACATTTCCTGTTCAAATCTCCCTCCAAATGGGCATAGCCTGGAGGACTAAAGGGGACAGGCGGGGGGGTGAACGAGACTTGGCCGTTTATATACCTCAACGGCCACTGCTGCGGCCAATGTTGGCGCCAGATTCAAAATTCAAATGTAGTAATACAGGTCGCCTGCAGATGGCGCCTCACAGGCGGTTTTAAGCAGAAAGTTGAACTTTCAACTAATTTGCACCAAAGTGACAAAATTATGACCAGGATATGTACACAACACTATTGGACACTCATTTATACGGTTTATCAGCAAAAAAAAAGCCCCGACGCACAGGAATTCTGGACTTACAAGACCACGCCATGGGGCGCACAGGCAGAGTGCGACACACTGCGCTGGTGAGGCTGTCCTGGGCTGGCGAAGCAGTAACGGTGAAGATAATGGTAACTGTGCCACGGCACCTGCACCACCGAAAGGGCCAAGAGGACCTAAAGCAGAGGCAGCCATGGTCTGGAGGTGCAGTGAAGTTTGTTGGTGTTGGTTGTGAAAGATCTAGGAATGCGTGCAATAAGGTTTCGATGTGGTGCACTCACTGGCCACAGGTTTTTTTATTTGTGTGTGCAGGATGGGGCGGAAGAACTGCAGCAAAAGAACGGAAGATTAAAATGGATATTGGGTTTTGAATATTGCAACGTTTACACTAAAATCTGTTTAAGGAAAATTATTCAAAATCCAATATTACAGGCGTGAAAACTGAAAACAGAAAACTGAAAAAGCCCAGAATTTCTTTTTTGTCAGAAACTAAAATAGAATTTACGGAAGGAACACAGACCGACTATGTCTCTCAGGTGGCCTGGGAATGCCCTGGGATTCCCCCAGATGAGCTGTAGGAGGTGTGTCTGGATAGGGAAGTCTGGGTGTCTCTGCTTAGACTGCTGCCCCTCAACCTGACAATGTTTAAAGCGGAAGAAAATAGATGGATGGATCATAACCTGTTGAACATGAGGCGTTTGAAATCCTGAAAAAGCAGATCCTTGTTTTTGTCCAAGAAACCTTCAATAGAATATCTGTAACAAGAGAAAAGAGACTGGAGTTTATTGTACACCAGTTATTAGTTGTATAAAAGCCTAGTTTGTGTTCATGTGACATCAGCACGTTCCAAAGAGCCTGAAGTTTTATGTTGTTGTGGAGCGCAGCTGAAAATGTCAATAGTCAGATTCTAATTCTGATTTTGATTCTTCCTCTGTAATTCCTGGAACAATCCACATGTCACAAAGTTTCACTTATTCTTTGTCAGCACATATCAATTATGTCTAGAAGTGTTGGAAATATTCAAAAACATGTGCATGATGTTTGCCAGTAGAAAGGACTTTTAAACATAAGAATAACATGGCAGCTTTGTGAATCTACTCGCTATCAAATAAAGAGGAGTTTATCTTTGGAACCAGCTGAAATACAATTCTACAACTTAGAGTTATCAGAGAAAAGACTGACGTGACATCTCCGGCGTAGTGTTGGATCCGGAAGTGCTTCTGAAATTCCAGGCTTTTATCCGATGGATTTAACTGGAAAACAAAATTATGTAATTTTACTGCAAAGTAAAGCCTTTTAAGAGGGAGTTTGAATGGGTTTTATAAGATAAGATAAGATAAGATGTGCTTTATTTATCTCACAAAGGAGAAATTTACATGTCACATTGGCATGGATAGAGACAATCAGATTGTGCAAAAGAAAAATGTGCAGACATGTTACATGCAGGTTCATAAACTGTGGTACACTGCACTCTGGTGGCGGAAAACTGTAGCTACAGTTATTCAACAAAGAAAACTGAAACATATTGTTGTGCGTACAGATTAGGGGAAAAAATACATTTATTTTGATTTTGGTCATATTTTGAAGATTAGGAATGATAATGCAAACCCTTTCCTCTCATCGTTTGTGGTTGTGTGAAGCCATTTATGAAAACTTCTCTTCTGACACTGATTAGAAATCTCCATCCTCCAGTTTTGAATAGTTTGTGTTGCCATTTTTGTATTCAGATCACCTAAACTTCTGACAACAGAAACATATGATGAGAAAAATGAGCCACGCTTACAGGACCAAACTTTCTGGTCTCTCTCTGCTCTCTCTCTGTTCTCTTGTGTCTCACTGGTCTCTCTCCAGGCTCTAGACCCTCTCAGGCCTTTATGTGATCTCTGGTCTAGTCTTGATTTCTCTCTGGTCTCTAGTCTTTCTCTGGTCTCTTGTGTCTCTCTGATCTCTCTCTGATCTCTCGGGTCTCTACCCGAGAGATCGGGAGTGTAAGTTTCTGGGTCTAACTCTGTCTAACGACCTGAAATGGGTTAAAAACACTGACCGGGTCGTAAAGAAAGCTCGTCAGCATCTCTACTTCCTGCGGAAACTTAGAGAATTTACCACTAACTCTAAGATTCTGCTGAACTTTTATCGCTGCACCATTGAGAGTTTACTTGTTGGTTCTGTGTCTGTGTGGTCCGGTAACATCACAGATAAAGAAAAGAGAGCTTTAAACAAGGTGCTCCGCTCTGCTAAGAGGACTGTAGGCTGTGAACTTCCTGTCCTGGAGGCTCTTTATCAATCCAGACTTTTTAACAGTGCCCTGAGAATTATCAATGACTCTTCTGGCCACCCAGGAAAAGCCTTGTTCCAGCTTCTTCCCTCTGGCAGAAGATACTGTTCTCTGAGATGCAGGACATCTCGTTATGCTAATAGTTTTTTTCCACGAGCTGTTATCAGTTTGAATAGAGCACTTTAATGTTTTTGCACTTGTATAGATCTGTTTTAGTTGGTCAACTTCACAGTGACATTTGTTTACTGTTTTAAAAATGTGTTTTATTTTTGTCTTTTAATGTTGTTTTATGTCTGTACTTGTCCTGTGCACACTGGGAACTTTTACTAATGTATTCCAATGTAGTGTTACTGCAAATGGCGAATAAAATGAATCTGAATCTGAATCTGAATCTCTCTGGTCTCTCACCTGTCTGGATCTGTAGTGTGGGTGCTGGCTCAGTTTGGAGTCCATACTCTGCAGACAGACAGTATCGGTCACTCTGCCCACGCTCAGACAGGCCTCATCCAGGATGGAGATGATCCCTCTGTGTGGCTGCTCTAACAGGTCCACAATGGGCTGGTTATCCAGGTAATCGATCTGAGCAGAGAGAAAAACTTAGGTCGTGTTTACACGGAGAAACTGCAACAGTAAAACGTTAGAGTTGGGTATCAGATTGGCCTTTTGTTTACATGAAGACAATGTTTCAGGGGGGTGAAAATGCAAGCACTGAGAATTGGTCTCCAGAGTGGAGCAGAACAGATACGCTACGCGCCAGGAGGCTATTTCACAGCTGTGGGAAAGGTGTGAATTCTCTGCCTGGTATGACCTCACCACTTCCCTACATGTACATTTGGATATGCAAAGTAGCAGAGAACAAACGTAAACAACAATGGCGGTGTTGTTTACATTTTTAATAATTCTAACGTATGCTTTGAGAGCTACACGGAGGAGAATTCTACTCTCGTCCAAACAAAATCACACAAAGCTCTAGTTTAAATTTCCATTTTCGCAGCTACTGTTAAATGCAGAATGATGTTGGGGCATTCTTTCACGTCTTTGTGGTGACCTGAGGAGGTGCTGTGTTATAACGTTCCACTGCCCACTACTGGCCGAGAGCAAGAACTACATTGTTTTCTGTTGTGGTGTAGACACTGTACACTTCAAACAAGGAGCCTGGTTGTTTTTGCTAATCATTTTGCAGCGTCTCTGTCTAAACGGGGCCTTAGACTCATCCATCAGTCCATCTCACGCTCCACCTTTCCCTCACTGAGAACAAGACCGGAGAAACTGGACCCGAAGAGGAGCGGGACTTTCTCTGGTCCTTGTCCCCTGCCCCGCTTTCACAAAACCACAATCTTTCTCTGATCAGCAACATGAGAAGTATAACATATAGTTAAAATGTCCATTATGAGAACCAATAGAGGGTTTTTGTGCTTATTCAGACAACCTGGTGCCTTTTAATAGGTTGATAGGTTTGGTGTCACCATGAAGTGTTCTCGATAACCCTCCCAAACTCACACTCCTCTCTTCTAGAAAGCTGTAATCTGCTTGTGCTGGGCCGAAGAATTTAGTAAACATCTTCTCGGGTTTACTAACAGCCTCTTTCACAACTGCCCAATTTTATACTTTAATTATGTATGTCCAATAATAGAATAAATCACACAAAAGACACTTGTTTGCCTCAGATTATTATAATAATTTCCAAAATGTCCAGCATGTCATTCCCTAGTCCAGAACTGTGGAATTTCTCTGGTCCAGAAAGTCCAGAGCTGGTCCTGAACGTCGTCTTTCTCTGGTCCAGAATGTGGCCTTTCTGGTTTCATGGAGATAACAGGACATCATCAGCAAACAGCAGAGATGACCTTCTGTAATATCTAAACCAAATTTTTATGGTGAAGAGGGAGCAGTCAAAAGTTTGGTTTATCTGCCCGGTCTACCCACACTTATGGTCATGAGCTTTAGGGAAGGACCTAAATGACCAGATGGAGGATTCACATCAACTCATGGATGATTTGACACCAATGGGCAGAAATGTTAACACTGCTGTCTTGCTGCCAAGTGGGTACTTTGTTGTGATGACTTGTACACTGTCACATGTGCCTGGTGTTGAAACTCACATGCTCCCAGACGATGCCTTCTCTCTGGTACTCCTCTTGCTCCTGCTGCAGAATGAGCTCGATGAACAAGTGCTGCAGCTTCTCGTTGCAGTAGTTTATACAAAACTGCTCAAAACTGAAGGAAAAACAGTCAAACAGGATCATTCAACACACATCTTAAACATTACGGTATTATTGTGGTTGGACGAACCTGTTGTTGTCAAAAATCTCAAATCCGTAAATGTCCAAGACTCCGATGACTGTGTTTTTCCCATGAACCCCTGGGTTGTAGTTTTTCACTCTGATAATGCTGTTGATGCGGCCAACAATCCACGCAAACAGCCTCTCGTACAAAGCCTGAAAAAACATCCAGTTATCAAATTATATTGTGTATATAAAGATACATCATAGAGCTTCGGCTCCGGCTGCAAAAAAATCCTTTTCTATTTTTGATGTGCCCCTCACAGTGTTATTTCATCTGGATTGGGTATTGCTCCTTATGCCGGGCCTCCTGCATGGTGACGGACCACCCGTGCTACTGCAGACTAAACTCACCAGGGCTACCTAATAATCTTTCCATGGACCTCAATGTTAACACAAACAGCTCGTCCTCAGCTGGCAGGGAACTTAACAGGTCTGTTTTTGTTGTCATTTTAGTGTCCCTAAATGTATGCAAATTATGTAGTAATTCATGACCATGTTTATTTAAATCCAAAAAGTAGACTTAATATTGACGCCATGAACCTTTGCTACATAACGCCTATAAAGAAATCAAGCCCGGGTGAATATACGTAGCGTTAGCTTACATTCTACTCCATGGTGCTCCAGCCACTTAGTTCGCTGTGGGTATACTCAAGAAGCCCGAGCTTCGCGCCAGAGAGAAATTAACGCTCCAATCACATGCCAGTCCCATCTATAAATAGCCCTCTACAGCCCGCACCTGCCACTTTTAACTCTGGCGCCATAGAGAGATCTACTTAACTTAGTGGAGAATCGAGATGTTGCTGCCTTCTCTGCTAGTCCGAGTTCCCTTCGCCCTCCGGCGTCGGACGAGATAGGTAAGCGTAGCTGTACTAACTTCACTGCAGGAACGAGCACTTCTTCTGCTTCCCCTGCCTGGGCTGACTGACTCTTCACGCACCGCCCAGATAACTCCCCAGGGGGAGAGTGAGAGTGCCGCGATGCACGCTCCAGTGTCCCGAAGGCTGCCCGGACTTCAGGGAAGGGATAACGGGCCCCTCACTCTCCCCAGGGGGAGAGTGAGTGGAGGGGAACGGGCAAATCAGGCTGCAATAAGTGAGGCAGAGAGGCCAGGGACTTTCTCTGTCTCACACAGCATATCACAGGGGGGCTGTATGCCCTTTTTGCCCCCCCTCCCCCCCCCCTCTCTCTCTACTCTGGGAGCACCAGGAGAGGGCGGGGCTCGTGGGAGGAGTACTTCGAGTCTGATGCTCCACCTCTACTAACTGCTAGTTACCTAATGTAACCCAACTCTATGAAGGAGCACGTAGACCTAGGCGGTGTAGCACCAGGACGTAGAATTCCAAGCGCCGGTTCCGCAGGCTCGTCACAAACAGCTGCTGGAAGGCGTCAGAACCGGAGACTGCCGCCTCCCGTTCGGGTACGCGCTGGCCCCTCGCACCTTCTCAAATTGCACGGAGGCAAGCCCTGATGCCGCTTAGACGCGCGGGGGTCAGAATTTTAACCTAAATAGACGATTCGTTAATTCTGGCCCAGTCCAGGCAAGTGGCCCTGGAGCACACGCACCGGGTTCTGTCTCACATACAACAGCTGGGCTTTTTGGTGAACAGAGAGAAGAGCAGGTTACAGCCTGCCCAGCGCGCGCTCTACCTTGGTCTGCAGCTGGACTCGGTGGAGTTCCGAGCGGCTCTGTCCGTGGACAGACAGGAGAGCCTCTCACAGCTGGCCACCAGGGCGCTGACCATCCCCAGGGTGTCTGCTCGTTGTCTCAGGTCACTCCTGGGGATGATGGCGGCAGCCCATGCGGTTATACGTCTGGGTCTTCTCCACATGAGAGGATTTCAGAGATGGCTCTCCAGTCTCAGACTTCACCCCTCCTGGGACGCAGCGACCATGCTCGTGGTTCCCCCCAGGGTGAGATCAGGTTCTGGCTCACCCAGGGTGTGATGAGGTATGGGGTTCGTCTAAAAGGCTCCGTATCACACGTGGAAGTGTTTACGGACGCCTCTCTCGAGGGGTGGGGAGGGGTTCTGGGCCAGAGCTCCGTGGGAGGGCTCTTGTCGAACCGAAACCATCTCGGAACCGAACCCATCTCCGCATACCAATCTACTGGAGATGGAGGCAGTGCGCAGGGTGCTGCTGCACTTTGCGCTGCTGCACTTTGCACCGCTGCTGCAGGGGGGCACGTGATGGTGTGTTCTGACAACACCACCGTCGTGGCCTACATAAACAGGCAGGGGGACACGAGATCCCGCGGTCTCCATCGCCTGCCAGCTCGCATTCTGCACTGGGCAGATGTGAATCTGCTGTCTCTCAGGGCACGCCACGTTCCCGGAGACAGGAACACAGGGGCGGATCTAATGTCCAGGGGGGGCCTACTCAGGGAGGAGTGGGGCTTGGCCCCGCAGATAGCGGCACAGGTATGGCAGAAGTTCGGTCGACCGGGGGTCGACCTATTCGCCAGTGCAGGCAATGCTCTGTGCCCACTCTGGTTCGCGCTGCGGCCCACGGACAATCCACCCCTGGGGGTGGATGCCCTGGTGCATTACCCGTGGCCGTGCGTTTCCCCCGACTCGCCCCTTGCCGGTTCTTCTGACGAGAATCGAGCAGGAGGGTCGGGAAGTGATCCTCATTGCCCCGGACAGCCCGCATGCCCGCTGGTTCCCGTTCCAGAGGGGCATGACGGTGTGTGACCCTTGGCCTCTCCCGGATGAGGGGCTCTGGTCCAGGGAGGGGGTACGCTTCACTCGCCCCCGGTACTGGGCCACAGACTCTGGGTCTGGAGGCTGAGAGGCGGACTCTCGTAGGTCTTGGTCTCCCTCAGTCAGTAATGGAGACCATTCAGGGCGCGAGAGCCCCTTCCACTGTCAGGGCCTACGGCTGTAGGTGGAGGGTTTCCAATGGCTGGTGCGCAGTGTGTTCTTGGGACCCCATGTCCTGCCTTCTGGAAGAGGTCCTGGGGTTCCTACAAGAATTATTGGAGAAGGGGAGGGCTTCCGGCACCCTGGCGGTGTTCGCAGCAGCCATTACTTCTGGCCACGGAGGGTTTGGGACATTTTCGGCCCGTTCCCACCCGCTGGTAAAACGTTTCCTTCGGGGGGCCCACCGGAAGAGGCGCGTTCTCCGGAGGACCCCCCCGCTCTGGGACCTTAAGGGGGTCTTGAGGGGGTTATCGGGACCTCCCTTCGAGCCTGTGGCCCAGGCAAGCCCCGAGTGTGTGGCTCTCAATACCGCCATCTTGCTGGCTCTCAACCAAGAGGGCAGGTGAGCTATGCGCACTCTCCGTTGGCCCGGAATGCCCGACATTCGGTGCTGAGGATGGTGTAGTTCTGCCTAAGGTTGTTACTTCGGCTTTTAGGTCAAGGGTCATCAGGGTCCGACCCTTTCACCCGCCGCCTCATGCCTCCGAGGAGGACGAGCGGCATCATCTGTTATGCCCAGTCAGGATGCTGAGATCCTACCTGGCAGTTTCAGCCTCTTTCAGACGGTCGGATCAGCTGTTTGTATGCATGGGCCCTAAGAACAGAGGCACGCCATTGACACCCCAGAGGCTGTCGCACTGGGTGTCTCGGGCAATTCACTTGGCTCACCAGGCCCAGGAATTGGTTCTCCCGGTACGGTTCAAGGCGCACTCCACACGAGGAGTCGCGGCCTCCACAGCTCTGCTCCGGGGGGCCTCGGTGGAGGACGTCTGCCAAGCTGCGTCTTGGGTTTCGTCCTCTACCGTTGCTCTGTCATATTTAGTGGACGTGACAGAACGGTCGGTTGCCCATTGCGTTCTGAAGGCGGGGGTCTGACTCACCGCGGGACGTTCGGAGGGAGCCGACCCGCGGCCTGCGGTCACTCTAGTCCGGCCTTCAGGAGCGCTGGATGGAGGCGTCCTGGGGTCGTGACCCGCTCTTCCCGTAACCGGTTACCATACTTCAGGAGCTCTTGGTAGAGGCGTCCTGGGTATGTTTCTTCTTCTCATACTTCAGGAGCTCTTGGTAGGAGCGGCCCTTGCTCTGTTCTTGCTCCTCAGGAGCTTGTGAGTGTTACTCAGGCGTCCTTGGTAGGAGCGGCCTCGTACACTGCTCTTCTTCCTTCCTGCCCCGGGTCCATGCGCCTTGATAGTGCGGCAGGAACTCGGGCAGGGCTCCAATCACTGTACGCTGGCCTGATGGGAGTACATCTCTCTACAGCTTTGCGTGGTACCCACAGCGAACTAAGTGGCTGGAGCACCATGAAGTAGAATTGGTAGTTACCTAGTGTAATTTAAGTTCTACGAATGGTGCGAAGTCACTTAGCTACGGGCCCATCAGTCCAGCCTGGCTTTGGCAGAGTTCAAAGTGGCAGGTGCGGGCTGTAGAGGGCTATTTATAGATGGGACTGGCACGTGATTAGAGTGTTAATTTCTCTCTGGCGCGAAGCTCGGGCTTCTTGAGTATACCCACAGCGAACTAAGTGGCTTTGCACCATTCGTAGAACTTAAATTACACTAGGTAACTACCAGTTATATATTTAAGGAGTTTTTCCAAAATCCCAACTGCCTCAGAAAAAAGTAGTTTTATTAAGATCTCAAACATGGACTAGGACTCATGCAAGGTGGTGGCTTTTTGTCTAGAAGAAGGGCCACTTTATTATTGGATGGGTTACCACAGAGACCATAGACCAGAAGGACCAGAGAGAGACCAGAGGATAAAGAACCTCATCCACAACTATGACATAAGATTCCAAGATGTCAAAGATGCTATTGAAAACTTGGCAGTCAAGATTCTGATCTCATTATCTCTTTTCAAGAACATTTATCAGGGTTTTGTGTCCCAACTATTCGCCCCAAAAAAACTGTATTCAGCTTTTAACACAGAATGTGAAAACATTTTCTGCCATCATGTGTGCTCTCATTGCCTGCAACGCTGATGCTTTAATATTAAAGCGCCTATGGAATGCCGCTTCAATGACTGGGGCAGCTACAGGAACACTTTTCCACCCCCGTTTGTGTATACCCCTGCTTCCCAGGAGCACCTGTTGCTGGTATGACCCCAAAAAGAGAGCGAGACGCAGAGGGTGCAGAGCTGGTATCCAGGTCCAGATCAGACAAGCTCGTCCAGCGCGAATTTACATGTGGCTGCGTCCTGTTCCCTGCCTGAAACAGCACTGCCTCACCAGGGTGTGTCCCGCCGGGATTCCACTCCCGAGAGACGGAACCCATGAGGAGCAGACAGGACCCATGGTGGAGCCAATCCCTGATGGTCTGGTGTCCGTATACAGAGATGCGTTCAGATGCAGAGTGATGAGGATGGAGCAATTCTCAACATTTGAATCACACATGATGCAAATCAGTTCTACAAACACATTTTGTTGTGTTTTTGTTTTTTGTCCCCTTGGGCCTGCTGGTGGATTCTTATCTAATTTTACTGACTTTTCAGCATCCATTTTAAGACTGGAGAAAGTCTTAATCCTTGGGGATTTTAACCTGCATATTGATGATGCTTCTGGACTTAATCTGGAGCGTCAACTGTCTTGTCTCTGGATTAATGACACTATTGTGAATCTGCCGGAGATCGTTCCATAAAATAAAACGCTTGTGGCATTCCACTAAAAATTAAGTTCACAGACAACATCTGAGGGACCTTGTACTTCTACCTAAATTATTTATTTAAAGAGGCCAGATCTAAATATTTTCACCAGCTGATTGCCTCCAATAAGAGAAACCCCAAGGTACTCTTCGACATGATCAATTCTATTGTTTCTCCTGCTGCCGCTGTTGTTGCTGTGCAGTGTAGAGCAAGTTGCAATGAGTTTGTGAACTTCTTTATTGACAAGGTTACTTGCTTCCTCTCCTTCCTCCAGTCAACTCTAGTTATAGCCCCGGACAGAATTGAATCAGAATCAGAATCATTTTATTGTAAGTAACAGGAGGTCACAGACTTGGAAATTGCTAAAATAAAAAGAATAAAAACACTTCTAGGGAATAAATTTAAATTAAAATAGAGTTACAATTACTATATACAATATACAGTGCACATGGTGCACACAATATAAGGTGGCAGCAGTACAGTGAGGTAAAGTGACTTATGATGGGCAGTAAAGTGACATTATAAAGGGCAGTAAAGTGACTTTATAAAGAGCAGTGGGGGACTTCTAGAGGGCGGGGAGGTTAAGAAGTGTTCAAGTGTTCATAATTTAGAATGGAAATGATTAACTGGTCCCTCAACGCAATTGATTCTATCTTTTCAACACGTAAGCGTGGGTCTGGAGAGCCCGTGTGTCCGGACGGGACTTCACCAGCGGGGTATACTCTTGACAGCTGGAACAAGTTTCAGCCCCTCTGTCTGTCGACCCTGTCCATTGAAGATTCGGAAGACGTATATATCTTTGGCATTTTGGTGGTGGGAATCCTCCTGTTTGGGTTTGGAGCGATCCTCTTCTACCACAAATTCGGAGGCATGGCAGTTCGCAAGATTCACGACCTGCTGGCCGACAAAATTGATGGGATGTACAAGGAGCTTAGCCACGTCGTGGTTGAGAGCGCCGTGTCTGGACAAAGGAGAGTGGTTTTGGTGGAACAGTTGATAAAAGATCTCGCAGCTCGTTCACTCGAAGGGAATAAAACTCTGGAGTTGAGATTGAATGACATTTGCCAGGCTTGAACTCTCTGACCCGGCTTGGATTTGCCCCTGTGTACGGGGTCTGAGGGCGCCGCAATTCGGTTTAATTGGATTTAATAGAATATCTGCCTGACATTGCATTTAATATTGTCCCCCTGAGGCGATGTGTTTTTCTCCTGCTGTGTCTTCTCTCCACTCTTATCTCACATTCCTTCGGCCAAGGCCATAATAACAAGGTCCCTATCTACAACAATTCACACTATTCAGTCTCCAGCTTGGATCCCCTACCCCCGCCTCCCTCTACCTATCCATCTTGCTCCCTCCCTCCCCTCCACTCCTCACTGTGTTGCCGACTCACCCCCTCCCTGACCCCGCCCCCCTCTGACAGCCACATTGGCCGGCTGTCGGAGGTGCTCATCCCGAGAAAAAATCCGTGCTTTATACAAAGCACAATGTGTCTATCCAACTGTCTGTGAAACTGTATGTTATTGCTCTCTGCTGTTTATTCTACTGTTTGTCGCATGGCGCCGTAAAGATGGCGCCGTGGCAAGAGCTCTGGTGTGTGTCGTCTTCTCTGTCTGGTGCACACCGGGGTAGTCTTGCACAGTTTTTCCAATGTGGTTTTACTGCAAATGGCAAATAAATGAATCTGAATCTGAATCTCAAGAGTCCAACAGCAGAGGGGAAGAAACTGTTCTTATGGCGGGAGGTTCTAGTCCTAATGGGCCGCAGCCTCCTGCCTGAAGGGAGCGATGGAAGGCTGCGGCCAATCACCTTCTCTGCAGAGCGCATGATGCGCTGTAATCTCTGCTTGTCCCTGACTGTGGCACCAGCGAACCACACGGTAAGGTGAGGATGGACTCTATGATGGCCATGTAGAACTGCACCAACATCTGTACAGGCAGCTTGGCTTTCCTGAGCTGCCGCAGGAAGGACATCCTCTGCTGGGTCGGCTCCCACTTGATGTCCTGGGTGATGGTGGTGCCCAGGAAACAATAGGACTCCACAGAGGTGATGAGTGAGTCCATCACAGAGGGAGGAGGAGGGGGGGGGGGGGGGGGGGGGGGGGGGGCAGAGCTCTTCCTGAAGTCCACAATCATCTCCACTGTCTTCTGGACGTTCAGCTCCAGGTTGTTACCACTGCACCACCTCCCTCCTGTAGGCGGACTCGTCGTTGCTGGAGATGAGGGTGGTGTCGTCCGCGAACTTTATCAGCTTCACGGAGTCGTGGCTGGAGGTGCAGTGGTTGGTGTACAGGGAGAAGAGTAGGGGAGAAAGAACACAGCCCAGTGGGGCTCCTGTATTTATAATCCGAGAGTCCGAGACATTCTCCCCGAGACGCACTCGCTGCTTCCTGTCTGTCAGGAAGTCAGTGATCCACCTGCAGGTGGAATCGGGCACGTTGAGCTGGGAGAGCTTGTCCTGGAGCAGGGATGGCAGGATCGTGTTGAAGGCAGAGCTGAAGTCCACGAACAGGACCCTGGCGTAGGTCCCCGGGTAGTCCAGATGCTGTAGGATGTGGTGGAGGGCCAGGTTGATGGCGTCGTCTACAGATCTGTTGGCTCTGTTGGCTTGTGCCTCTAATTACCCAGCACCTTGGCGACCTGAGGAGCTCTGTAAAAAGGAGTCTGAGGAACCTTGAAGTCACTTTTGATGAAGGGATGTTCCTAGAATGATAGTTGGTGGAGAGGTCCTTTCTCAAACAGCTGATAAAAATCTGCAATTTTCACTTGAGCAACATCTCCAAGCTCAGACATAGGGTCTCAGGTTATGAGCTGCGATAATTGTCCATGCTTGTGTTTCCTCGTGATTGGACTTCTGCTGCTGTGACCTGTCCTGTTCCACCCAGCGGATGGTCTACATCTGCTGCTGTGACTTGTTCTGCTCCACCCAGCGGCTACTCCACCTTTGCTGCTGTGACCTGAAGTGCTGTTGCATTTAATCATTACTATTGTTAGCTCTTTAGAATAATCAATTTATTTGTATTGTTTGTGTGGATGGATGTGTTTTTGCTACTACTGGACACCTGAATTTCTCCTACGGGGATCAATTAAGTATTTATCTATCTACCTATCTATCTACATTAAGGGCCTGATCCAGCCTTACATCTCCAACAGATTTCTGATGTTTTCCACTCAGAACCTGTTGATGGTCCCTTGAACTCGTTTCAAAACCCGAGGAAACAGATCCTTCCAGGCTGTTGCTCCGTGTCTTCGGAATGAGCTTCCCCAGTCGCATGTCTGGGGAAGCTCATTGTCAGTGGACAATTTTAAGTTGCAATTTAAGACCTATTGGTTTAGGCAGGCTTTCACGCCTTACTGTACATAGGCCCACCTGAAGTGTGTTTATGATTTTTCTGTATGTTTGTTTTTTGGAGATGACTGGTCTTTGTACTATTTTTACTGTATGTTTTTAATTGTGAAGCCCTTTGCGTTCCTAGTCTGTGAAAGGCTCTTATAAAATAAACTTTACTTACTTGAAACTTGTTTGTGTGCTTCACCCACACTAATATTCGGTCCTCTCGACTCACAGAACACTCTGTGCTGAATCAGACTAATCTGTGACTTCAAAGACAAAGCTGCAGACATTTGTTTATTTGGACCTTTGCAAATGCGTCTCGTCCGAAGTTGGCGTCCTGCTCAGAGTGCTGCTTCTGAATAATGTCGCCGCCCCCAGTGGCCACAGTGCGGAACAGCAGGCTGCTCATAAGGCTGTCTGAGTCTGTGTGAGTGAGAGCAGAAAGCTGATCCACAGAGTCAGAGCAGGACAGCAGGACATTCTCCCCATCGCTCTCAAAGCCCATGTTACCCTGCAGACAAAAACAGGCCGTAATTATTCACATACAGTATATGACATCAGGTCCGAAAATCAAGAGAGACATCATGCTCATGGAAACTGGCTGCAAAACAGATCCGTCTGGCGACTATTATGAACTATGCTGTTATGTCTTGCTAAGTGTCCATTTGGATCATTCCCCAAGGCTCATGACCATAGCTGAGGGTGGGATCGTAGACTGAGCAGTAAATCCAGAGCTCTCACTACAGACGCTGCTCCCTATTAACCATCTCAAATTGTTGGACAAAGTTAGACCAAGAAACTTACACTCCTCAACAATCTCCACCTGAGAGTTTTCAATGACCACAGGTGAGTGGGAGTGAGAGTGACCACGACTGAAGTCGAACACCAGTTCACATGTTTTGTGCGTGTTCAATAGGAGGTTGTTGTCTTTACTCCAGTTGACAACATTCTCAACCTCTGCTCTGTATGAAGATTTGTCGTTCTCAATGATAAGACCGATAATGGTGGTGTCGTCTGCATATTTAATGATCAGATTTGAGTCAGAAGAAGCAACACAGTCATGGGTGTACAATGTGAAGAGCAGAGGACTCAGAATACACCCCTGAGGAGATCCAGTGCTCACAAACGCTTCATCTGAGAGACGGCCACCGATTCAAACTCTCTGAGATCTGCCGGTGAGAAAGCTGTAAATCCATTTACACATGGCTTCGCACAGCCCGAGGGATCTGAGTTTTTCAACCAGTTTACCTGGGACTAGACAGTTAAAAGCAGAGCTGTAATCAATGAACAGCATTGTCCAGATGACTGTACACAGAGTTCAGTGCAAGAGAGATCGCGTCTTCAACGCTCCTGTTTTCTATTGTACGCAAACTGGAGCGGGTCGGTACCGGAGGGGATCTGGCTCTTAACAAAGTCCAATACAAGCCGCTCAAAGGTCTTCATTAGAACAGACGTGAGGGCAACCGGACGATAGTCATTAAGGCCTGTCACTGGAGTTTTCAGATTCAGATTCAGATTCATTTATTTGCCATTTGCAGTAAAACCACATAGGAAAAACTGTGCAAGACTACCCCAGTGTGCACCAGACGACACACACCAGAGCTCTTGCCACGGCGCCATCTTTACGGGGCCATGCGACAAACAGTAGAATAAACAGCAGAGAGATAAGATAAGATAAGATAAGAATTCCTTTATTCGTCCCACAGTGGGGAAATTTCGATGTTGCATCGCACATATAGGACAGTAGTAAGTGCACACAGGGAGCACACACAATATATACAAATAAGTTGTAGCTATGTTTCTTAACTAACATAACTAGCTGTAGATGCTGAAAATGCTTCGATACCAGTCAAAATATATATATATATGTAGTAGTGCAGAGTTATATACTGTACAGTTAAATAGTGCAGGATAAAAAGTTTATAAGTAAAGTGACATGAGGTAAAGTGACATTGTTCTGTGACATTCTGAAGTTGCAGTATTGCACATTGCACATGATTTAAGAATTTACTTAATTACAGATGAATGAAATTTACAGGCTCAGCAGTTCAGTCAGTACAGTCTGACAGCAGCAGGAAGGAAAGACCTACGGAACCTCTCCTTCACACAGCGAGGGTGAATTAGTCTGTCACTGAAACTGCTCTCCAGAGCAGAGAGAGTGTCCTGCAGGGGGTGACAGTCATGGTCCAGCATAGATGTTAGTTTGCTCAGGACCCTCCTGTCCCCCACCTGCTGCACTGTGTCAAGGGAACAGCCCAGGACTGAGCTGGACTTCCTGATGACCTTGTCCAGCTTCTTCCTGTCCCTCTCTGTGATGCTGCTGTTCCAGCAGACCACACCGTACAAGATGGCTGATGCCACCACAGAGTCACAGAAGGTCTTCAGGAGTGGCCCCTGCACTCCAAAAGAACTAAGCCTCCTCAGTAGGTAGAGGCGACTCTGGCCCTTCTTGAAGAGGGCGTCTGTGTTATGAGTCCAGTCCAGTTTGTGGTTCAGATGAACACCCAGGTACTTGTAAGAGGCCACTCTCTCAATGTCCTTTCCCTGGATGTTCACTGGAGCTGGAGCGGCAGAGTGACGTCTGCGGAAATCCACCACCATCTCCTTGGTCTTTCCCGCGTTGATGAGGAGGTGGTTCCGCTGACACCAGTCCACAAAGTCCTGTATAACTCCTCTGTACTCTGTGTCATCGTCCTCGGAGCTGAGTCCGATGATGGCAGAGTCGTCAGAGAACTTCTGTAGAACACAACCGTCCGTGTTGTGTCTGAAGTCCGCAGTGTAGAGGGTGAAGAGGAATGGCGCGAGGACAGTTCCCTGGGGGGACCCCACACTGCAGGTCAGGATCTCCGACACAAATTCCCTGGTTCTCACAAACTGGGGTCTGTCTGTGAGGTAGTCCAGGATCCACTGGGACAGGTCGTAGTCCACACCGGCTGTCTCCATCTTGTCCATCTTGAGAAGCCTCGGCTGGATGGTGTTGAAGGCACTGGAGAAATCAAAGAAGAGGATCCTCACAGTGAAGCCGGGTTTCTCCAGGTGGGACAGGGAGCGATGGAAGAGGGAGATGATGGCGTCCTCGACTCCGATGCCCGGCCTGTAGGCAAACTGCAGCGGGTCCATCGCTGGGCTCAGAGTGGAGCGGAGACGTCCCAGGACCAGTCTCTCCAGTGTCTTTATGCAGTGGGATGTTAGAGCCACTGGCCTGAAGTCGCTGAGGTCTTTGGCCCGTAGTTTCTTGGGCACCGGTACCACACAGGAGGTCTTCCAGAGCTGTGTTACCGCCCTCAGCTTGAGGCTCAGGTTGAAGACGCGCTCCATCACTCCACAGAGTTCGTCTGCACAGGAGCGAAGGAGCCTGGAGCTGATGTTATCTGGTCCTGGTGCCTTTCTGGTCTTTATCCTCCTCATCTCTGTCCTCACCTGAGCAGCGGTGAATGACAGGGGGGTTCAGGGGGGTGCAGGGGGGTTGGGTGGAGTGGGTGCTGAGTAGGGAGGACGGGGGCTCAGTGGTGGGGGGGAGTGTCCCTGGGAGGGCTGGTGGGGCCGTGGGAGGAAGACTGTGGTGGCATGACAGAGGTGTGAACGATCGTAGGTGTTGCCCTTTGTTCCGCTGCCGGAGTGAGGGAGAGCGTCTGCGCAGGGGGAGGGGAAGGCTGGTCAAAGCGAGCGAAGAATGTATTTAGCTCGTTTACCCACAGCTGGTCTCCTGTGGACTGACTGGGGGGTGTTTTGAAGCCTGACATGGAATTGAAGCCTCTCCACACCCCCTGCACGTCCTGCCGAGCCAGTTGCTCCTCCATCTTCCTCCTGTAGATGTTTTTAGCTGCGGGTATATTCCACCTCAACTTCCTTTGCGCAGATTTAAGGGCTTCCTTATCTCCTGACTTAAAAGCCCGCTTTTTGTCCTTAAGCAGAGCTTTGATGTCAGGGTTGATCAACGGCTTATTGTTTGGGAAACACCGTACAGTGCGGGCAGGTACGGTGTTCTCAAAGCAAAAGTTAATGTAGTCCGTGACACACTCTGTCATGGCATTAATGTCCTCCCCGTGTGGGTCACAGAGCCTGTTCCACAGCGTTGTGTCGAAACAGTCTCTGAGGGCCTCCTCTGTGTCCACGTTCCACAGCTTCACCACACGTGAGACAGCAGGATGCAGTAACATTCACACATATTTCAAACAAACATGGGAGAGACACAGTACGTGTGGAAAACATGCAGATCTTTTTGAAGGGAAGTCATCACTCTGGCCCGCCTCGTCCAATATAGCGCGTCAGAGGGGAGTGTGGGTGGGGGAGGTGGAGGGGAAGACCACCATTGACTGAAAAGCGAGGGAAGCAGACATGTAGAAGGGGGGGGGGGGGGACTGTAACTGGTGTTCTGGGTTGTGAGTCTGAGTAAGATAGAGTCCAGTGTCGGCCTTGAGTAGCCGGTGTAGCAGTGTGGGTGGTGGAATGTGAAGGACGAAGATAGCGCAGGTGCCTGCAAACATTGGAGACAAAACAACACATGCCTTGTGGGAAATTTGTATAAGCACTTTAGCTGATCAGTGAAAGGCAGTGTAAACTAAAGCCAATATGTTCAAATTATACTGGAACTGGACCCTCCGTTCACCGTTATCCGGAGTTGACCACGTCAGTACGAGGTTCCACCGTGAGGCCCAAGTCCTTCAATCAATCCTTCCACACCTTTAAGTCCATCCAAAGATCTCACTCCCAGATCATTAAGGGAATGTTCGATCCGACTCACACCCCGTTGTGTCCCCACTGTGCCCTCAACCACGACTCTGACCAACTCGCGGAAACTCTCCTTGTTTTCCGCGGACAGCCGCTCGTAATTCTTCTGAGTGGACAGCCCTCCAACTTTGCGGTAGATCAAGCCAACTCCAAATCCAATCAGGAGGAACCCTGCTACCATAAATCCAAAAATGTATATATCCTCAATGGACAGTCCCGACAGACAAACGGGGTGCCACTTTTGCCAGTTGTCAAAAACGTACCCAGCAGCCGCCATACCATCCGGGCAAACGGCATCTCCAGAACCGCCTTTACGTGATGAAAAAATAGTATCAGTTGCGTTGAGGGACCAGTTGATTAATTCCATCATTACGTCTAACCTCGAGGAGAGCAGGAGTAGGACAAGAGTTTTCTTTGGAACCGGGACGATGGTGGACTTTTTAAAGCAGGCCGGCACTGTGGAGTTCCTCAGTGATAAATTGAACATGTCTGTTAGCACAGGGGCGAGTTGTTCAGCACACAGCTTCATAATGCGAGGGGGGATACCGTCTGGGCCTACGGCTTTTTGGGTCGAGGTTCTGGACAGGACCCGCTGCACTTCCTCCTGCGTCACTGTAAAGGCTGCTTGGTCTGTACCAGTGGTCTCCAACCTGTAGCTTGGGAGCCACCAGTAGCTCGCCAGCCCCTTACAGGTAGCTCGCCAAAGGAATTCGAATTTAACAAATACACTTACATAAATACTTTTTGAGCCATTAAATATCTATAATAAGTATA